ACTACAAAAAATAAAAAATAAAAGACAGAGTGAATGGCTTAGAAGCAAACTCCACACCAATAGCTCAGTGCTTGACATTGTACAACTCGCAAGACCACCCAGGAAATAGCAGAATCACCCTTACCATTTACAAGAGAAAATACGATTATTTGCTTCAGTTAGTAACAAAATAAAAATAGACTCATATATTTCAGCGATGGAAGGAAACCTGTCAAATCCCTTTTTTACAGTTGAGGAAACTGAAGAGAAAAGGTAAGTTACTTTTCATTGGCACATGGCAAAGGGTTTTCTACTATTATGTAGATGAATTAATCATTTTTAAAATGAGGTAAAATGGTTTTATTCATGAACTAAGCAAGTACACGTGCACGTTAGGGATGAAATTGATTGTTCAAAACCCTTTCATGAGCACACTCTCTGTTTCACCTTTTGTTCTGAGTCTGTGAGCTCAGATAGTACTCTCATACTTCGGCAGACGTGAGGCTGCCAGACAAAGTGCTCTGAGAGTACAGGTAAGTGTGAGAGGGTAGAGTAGACACCAAAGGGACCCCTGGATTTCACCGAAATCTCAAAGAACAGAAGATTCACTGGGGACACAACTGCCTGTTGGTAAAGAGCCGATCACTTTGTCCCCAGTGAATCTTCTGTGTTTCTCACAGTTGGAGGTGTACACAGGCAAAGGCGATCCTTATTAAAATCTTCCCAAGATACACAGACAGGTCCTGCCTACCACTAATCTTGGCCTCCACAAAAAATGGGGGTTTAAAAAAAAACACCATGCAAAAGTGAGTTTCTACCTTATTTCTCTTTTCTCCTTCTCTCCTGACAGTGTCTTGCACAATCAAACCTCAATGCTTCCTTCATTTTCCTTTTCAACAGAGGGGCTAATTACTGTTCAACTTTTAGCATACTTCTTACACTGGCTATTTCTTTTTTCAAGCATTTTATACAAAATGCCCAAGTTTGAAATTACAGAAACCTAAAGTAAATAAGAAATACTTTTTCTGCTTTTAAGAAACCTTGTTCTAATTAGGTGGTTCCTTTTTAGGTCCAGATGCTAAGTTGGAAAGTTTTTTGTTGTTTTTTTCCCTGAAAGAGTAAGATGTAACAAAGTTACGATTTTTGGAACATTTTCTATGTCTGAGTCCTTGTAATGTTTGTTACCCGGCTACTGCTTGTGGAGAATGAGCTGAAAGAGATTGTGGAGGGTACATGGTTAATGACTAAAGTAACAAGACCTAAAAGACAGGAACCCTGACCCTTCCACAGGCTAAGTGGCCAGGCCGGGTCATAAGGTAAGACGATCATGTCTTCAGGCTTCTGGTCTCCCTCACTAAAACAAAGATGACACTGACCATTAGTTAATGACTAGAGTGATGTTTGTGCACAAAACATAAATTAAGATCTTTAGAAATATTATGAAATAGATAAACACATCAGCTGAATTAGCTCTTCCCACTTCTTTGCAAAATATAATTAATCTTCTCTAGAGAAGCCATTAGGAACTGTAAACATGATCTAAGTGAGAAATCATAGATTAGGGGTGAAAAAACATAAAGTGTTGATTGCTCAATATTTCTAGGGAAGGGTACTGGGCTGCAGAGAGCCAGATAGATTCCAGTTAGGACTGACTCTGGCAACTGAGGATTACTGCCTGTTGGTAAAGAGCAGACCAAAAGAGAAGCAGCACCTCAGTGGAAATCATACACATGTGTATGATGTCAGATCCAGAATTGGAGTGGCCAGAGACAGCAGACCCCCAAAATCTAAGTAGATTATATCCACAGACTCTGGACAAAAACAGAATAGCCCACATAAACAATCAACCCTCTAACATATCTAACATACTGAGAGCAATGCCACTGGAACTCTTGAAATGGTGAGAGAAACACAAGCTGTCTTGCTATACATAATTTTATCCACAACAATTTATTATTTTCAAAAAAAGATGGCCACAGAATGCACCTTACAATAAGTCCAGTAGAAATCATCCCTTTTTTTGCAAAGAGTACCTAGTGCTAATAATCCCAAATTAAAATGTATGAGCATAATGAACAGTCATCATCATCATAATATATCTTCCATCACAAAACATTTCACCAAAATCATTCTTGTCACAAGCCCTACAATCCTGATGTCTGGACAAAGACATAAATATAGTCTAGTCCCAAGTTTAATATTTTCTGCAGAGGATGTGGTTTTATTTGTTGTTAATCCCAACTCTTGCTGGAACACACTTTTCTAATTCGTCCAGATAGTTGTCAACATGTTGCCCAAGTTGCCCTTTCCTTCCTGGGCTGCTGTTCCTTGTGGTATTTTGCAATAACTCATAAATGACTTGCCTTGCCACTATCTCTGCTCTAAAAAGCAAACTGCATTTTTCTGTCTGTTTTGGAAAAAATAAAAATTTTTCAAAATAACAGAGCCACCAGATCAAAGAGGCCTGATCATGTATACAAGCCCAAGAAAGCCACTCCTCACTGAGTCAGAGTTATGAATGAACAGCTTTGGCAAGTTCCCTTTGCAATGGATGTGACAGAACACAATGAGACATGTTCATCTCCTCAAGACTTTTGTGTGTGGGGGGGAGTGTGTGTGTGTGAACACGGAGATATAAGATTCAGCCAAATGCATAACCCTCATACCTTATAAGATAATAACACTTGAGATTTCTAACTTCTACTTGGAAGATGTGTTTATTTACAGAGAAGACAGAGAAAGATATTCTAGAGACAGAGAAATTCGGGCAACAAATATGTCCTTCCAGCTTTTATAATCCCCCCACCAGTCAGTACCTTTTCATGTATGCCAGAGAGGCTCTAGCATGGTATAGAAACGAAGAGAGAAAGAATACAGATCTGCCTGATGCTGGGACGGGTCAAGAGGAGAGTCTCTCAAAAACTGAGAGGAGTTTCCATGAATTCCAGTATGAGAATGACCTCTGGGGCCAAAAGTGTTTCAAACCTTCTACAGCTGAACTCCACTCCCTTCCTCACACAAACCTCTTCAGAATCCCTGCCTGTGCCCATCTGACCTTGACAGTCTGCCTCTGACAGTCCCAGGTTCTAAGTACTGTGCTTGGTCCCACTGGTGGATTCTCTTCCTACCTTACTTTCATATTCAGCCTCCTCCCTTGGTAAAGTGCTTCATTCTTGCCCCTGTATATTTTTTACTAAATATTTATTGAGTACCTACCATGGTCAGTTACTATTATGTTAGACGCTACTGTCAGAGCCATAAAAATAAAACTCTTTCTTTAAGAAGCCAACTATCTATTAGGGGAGGAAAATAAGTTAATAATTACTTGAATGAAAGACAGAAAAAAGTGCAATTGAAGTGGGGAAAAAGTGATTTGTTCCTACTGGGTTAATTTGATCATTTCTTGGGTAGTGATTGGCTGAACTTTGACAGATAAAGAGAATTTTCATTGGAAAAAAACATGAAGAATGAAGGACATTCCAGACTGAGGAAGGAGCATCGGCTCTTAGCAAAATAAAGTGCCAAGAAATGTCCACAAGTCCAGGAAGGGTGGAAAATAGTGAAATGAATGGATAAATGTAGACCAGGAGATTTAGGGACAGAAGATGGAGAGCCTCAGATGTAGGCTCAAGAGATGTGGAGTCAGAAGAATGAACACCAGGGTGCTGGTGCCTATATGTAAGAATAGTTTGGTGAATGATGTCAGGTTCTGTAATGGAAATGTTGAATTTGAGCACAGGGTTTCTATTTTTTAAAAGTTCCAGGAGGTAGCTGAAATTCTGGAAGTCACCTTCATGGAGATAGCACTGTCTGAAAGCAACTGGATGAAATCAGAGAAGCACACTTGACCTGTTCACTGTTGGGTCACAAGTAACCAGCATAATTCCTAATGCAGATTAAGTAATCATTAAATATTTATGTAATCAATAAATGTAATATAAAAGAAGTAAGTAAGCAGAGGTTGAATATTGAGGAAGGCTTCAATTTATCAAGGAAAGGTCAATGAAAATAGAGGGGAGAAATTAGTAAAAGAAATACATGAAGACTACAATATCTCAAAAACCAATGAAAGAGCAAATCTTAAGAACAAGCAAATGTATTCAATCATTTATTCAACAACATTTTTTGAAAAAACAGGGTCTCACTGTCACCGAGGCTGTGGTGCAGTGACACAAACTCAGCTCACTGCAACCTCCACCTCCCAGGTCCAAGTGATTCTCATGCCCCAGCCTCCTAAGTATCTGGGATCACAGGCACAGGCCACCACATCTGGCTAATTTCTGTATTTTTAGCAGAGATGGGCTAGTCTCAAACTCCTGACCTCAAGTGATCTGCCTGCCTCGGTCTCCTGAAGTGCTAGGATTACAGGCATAAGCCACCATGCCCAGCCTTATTCAACCAGTATCAACTCCTCCTCTGCATGCCAGGTATTATTTTGTGTGCTGGGGACACAGCAGAAAACAAGACAAAAAAGAACCCTGCTCTTAGAGAGCTCACTTGCTAGACAATAGTTAGCAATGCTCGATGCTCATTGCTTCTGGAGATGTTAAATGGGATAAGAATAAACAACTAGTTACTGGATTGGGCACTTAGAGGACTTTCAATAGTCAATCTTCAGTAACCTTGAATGAGTAGTTTAGTGGAACAGTGGCAGTAAAAGTCACATTTACCATATCTGTTTTTGTCTTTGTTTTTGTCTTTTTCCATTAGCTTTTGAAGGCAGGAACCAACCCTATTCATTGTTGGACTCACACAATATCTGGCAAACAATGCTTGGATGCATATATGAATTAGCAATAAGTGATTAGAAAATATGTGTTTGGTAGTGAAGAATAAGCCCAGAATGAACTTTTAACTCTATCTATTAAATGAACTAGAAAGATAGGCCAGTACCTTTTAAGTTTTATTGGTCAGAGTTTGGTTCAAAAAAACCAGAATTCATTTATTTTAGTCCAGGTTTTAGCAGAAAAGCAATGCCAGTATAAGTGATATGGAATAAGGGAATTATTAAAGCGACTGACCTTACGCAATTGTAAAAACTGCTAAAGAATTCAGTGGAAGACTGTTACTGCCCTGTGGGTCTGGTGCAGGCCACCTGAAGTTATAAATCTGTGGAATGGAAAACAAAGAAAAGGTGAGTGAAGTAGGGGAACCGAGAAAGACAAACTGTAACCTATATCTGTCTCTCAGCATCCCCAGTCTCAATGGGGATGTGCAGAATGCTGGCACACTTCACCACAAAGCTGTAAACACACTGACCTAAGATTCAGAGAAACTGAAGGAAGAGGTCTGACAGGAGCTAGGAGAATTTGGGCCCAGTGGCTGCCTCATGTGGAGGAGCAGCAGGTCCCTTGTACCCTCCACCAGGCTTCAGAGTGTAATACCTGCTACTACACATCCACCTTCCAAATCTTACAAATTTCTTTTGTAGCCAGCCCCAGCTTTATCCTACCAAAACCCATACAGGAAATAAATTCTGGGAAACATAGTTCCAGCTTAGTCAACACATAACAAAGGCATTGCAGTCTGCCCCTTTTCTACATACCTCTTTTAACTATACTTACCTCCCAAATAAAAATAATAACAATGTCATGCCTCTACCTGACATCATACAACTCTCCTCCAACCTGAAACACTGATCCTGTTTGTGTCAGAAATATTTGAAGCCCCTTTATCTGTCATTTGGTGATGCTCATTCCTTTTCTACTTGAGACATACTTCCCCCTTTGATATTCCATAACTTAGTAAGATACAAGGTTAGGCCAGACACAGTAGCTCACTCTTGTAATCCCAGCACCTTAGGAGGCTGAGGCAGAAGGATCACTTGAGCTTAGGAGTTCAAGACCAGCCAGGGCAACACAGGGAGATGTGCCTATGGTCCCAGCTACTTGGGAGGCTGAGATGGGAGGACTGCTTGAGCCCAGGAGGTCAAGCCATGACTGTGCCACTGCACTTCAGCCTGGGCAACAAAGTGAGACCCTGTCTCCAAAAAAGAGAGAGGTATGAGGACAGGTGGTAGGGAAATGGAGGAGGGCAAGAAAAGAATTTGTTTATGTGTGTGTTCATATCAAAATAAGAAAGAAACACTCATTATGATGCTTTAATTGCAGCTAGTCATATGGTCTTAGCTGATATTTATACTTTTCTTCTTCCATTATCCATTCCATATTCCTTTTGCCTCAGCAGACATCTCAGCTCAGACATATTTCTCCTTGCTGTATGGTTTAGCAGCAACCCTCAACAAGCCAGAATCAATCACTCCGGTCAGTATAGCATCCTCCCTCTTCCCCCAACCACTGCTTATTCATTTGATGGTATGAGGAGCCCAAGTGAACAGAGGGCAAATTCAGCTCCCAGTTTAAGGGAACCATGGGTGTATCCCCTGAAGGAAATCTTCCTCCTTTGGGAACTAAGTCTTCTATGTTAGCGGAATACAAAGTCACTGAGATGGGAAGCAAAATTTTCACTAGTAAAACTCTAAGGTTAATAGTAAGTGGAGCTACTCTTATTTCCAATCCTTGATTTCCTGGATATATAAATCCTGGTTATGGAGAGAAAACACCATATAGATTAGGTGCTGCTTTATAGCAGCCACATAAGGTGTTCCCACCCAACTGGCATGGTAACTGAATCTTCTTAAGGCCACTCTACCATTCTATCTGGCCAACTGCTTGAGGGTGTTGGGAATTTTCTAAGGCCAGTGAATTGCATGAGCAGGAACTCATTGCTGCACTTTACTGGCAATAAAGTGAGTCCGGTGGTCAGAAGTAATATTGCGTCAAATACTATGATGATGAATAAGGCATTCTGAAAGTCCACAGAGAGTCATTTGGGCAGAAGTAGGAAAGGTAAATCTGTATCCAGAATGTATTAGTTCATTCTCATGCTGTTATGAAGAAATACCCAAGACTGGGTAATTTATAAAGAAAAGAGGTTTAATTGGTTCACAGTTCTGCATTGCTAGGGAGGCCTTGGGAAACTTACAACCATGGCAGAAAGCAAAGGACAAGCAGGCAACTTCTTCACAGGGTGGCAAGACAGAGCGAGCACAAGCAGGAGAAAAGCCAGATGTTTATAAAACCATCAGATCTCATGAGAATTCACTCACTATCATGAGAACAGCATAGGGGAAACTTCCCCCATGACTCAATTGCCTCCTCCTGGTCTTGCCCTTGATATGTAGAGACCATGGGAATTGCAATTCAAGAAGAGATTTGGGTGGAGACACAAACCTAACCATATCATTCTGCCCATGGCCCCTCCTAAATCTCGTGTCTTTCACATTTCAAAATCAATCATGTCTTCCCAATAGTTACTCAAAGTCTTAATTCATTCCAGTATTAACCCAAAAGTCTAAGTCCAAAGTCTGATCTGAAACAAGGCAAGTCCCTTCTGCCTATGAGCCTGTAAAATCAAAAGTAAGTTAGTTACTTCCCAGATACAATGGGGTCACAGGTATTGGGTAAATATACCCATTCCAAATGGGAGAAATTGGCCAAGATGAAGGGGCTACAGGCCCCATCCAAGTCTGGAATCCAATAGGGTAGTCATTAAACCTTAAAGTTGCAAAATGATCTCTTTTGACTCCATGTCTCATATCCAGGGCACACTGATGCAAGAAGTGGGCTCCCATGGCCTTCAGCAGCTCCGCCCCTCTGGCTTTGCAGGGTACAGACCCCCTGTTCTCTGCTTTCACAGCTAGTGCTAGGTGTCTGTGGCTTTTCCAGGTACTTGGTGCAAGCTGTGAGTGGATCTACCATTCTGGGGTCTGGAAGACCGTGGCCCTCTTTTCACAGCTTCACTAGGCAGTGTCCCAGTTGGGACTCTCTGTGGAAGCTCCTAACCCACATTTCCCTTCTGCACTGTCCTAGCAGTTCTCCATGAGGGCTCTACCTCTGCATCAGACTTCTGCCTGGATATCCAGGCATTTCCATACATCTTCTGAAACCTAGGCAAAGGTTTCCAAACCTCATTTATTGACTTCTGTGCACCTACAGGCCCAACACCATGTGTAAAGTGCCAAGGCTTGGGGTTTGCACCCTCTGAAGCAATGGCCTGAGCTGTACCTTGGCTGCTTGTAGCCACAGCTGGGATGCAGAGCACCAAGTCCTGAGACTGCACAAAGCAGCAAGGCCTGGCCCATGAAACCATTTTTTCCTTGTAGGTCTCCAGGCCTGTGATGGGAGGGGCTGCCATAAAGACCTATGACATGTCCTGGAGATATTTTTCCCATTGTCTTGGTGATTAACATTTGGCTCCTGATCACTTACGCAAATTTCTGCTGCCAGCTTGAATTTCTCCTCAGAAAATGGGTTTGTCTTTTCTATTGCATCGTCAGGCTGCAAATTTTTTGAACTTTTATATTCTGCTTCCCTTTTAAACATAAGCTCCAATTCCAAAACATATCTTTGTGAAAACATAAAACTGAATGCTTTTAAGAGCACCCAAGTCAACTCTTGAACATTTTGTTGCTTAGAATTTCATTCTGCCAGAAACCCTAAATCATCTCTCTCAAGTTCAAAGTTCCACAGATCTAGGGCAGAGGCAAAATGAGCCAGTCCCTCTGCTGAAGCATAGCAAGAGTCACCTTTATTCCAGTTCCCAACAAGCTCCTCATCTCCCTCTGAGGCCACCTCAGCCTGGACTTTATTGTCCATATCACTATCAGCATTTTGGTCAAAACCATTCAACAAGTCTCCAGGAAGTTCCAAACTTTCCCACATCTTCCTGTCTTCTTCTGAGCCCTCCAAACTGTTCCAACCTCTGCCTGTTATCCACTTCCAAAGTTGCTTCCACATTTTCAGTTATCTTTACAGCAGAATCCCCCCACCTTGGTACCAGTTTACTTTATTAGTCCATTTTCATACTGCTATAAAGAACTTCCTGAGGCTGAGTAATTTATAAAAGAAAGAGGTTCAATAGACTAACACTTCAGCATGGCTGGGGAGGCCTTAAGGAACCTTACAATCATAGTGGAAGGCAAAGGGAAAGCAAGACACCTTCTTCACAAGGTGGTGGGAAGCACTAGTACAACCAGGGGAAGTTACAGATGCTTTTAAAACCATCAAAGCTCATGAGAACTCACTCACTCTCATGAGAACAGCATAGGGGAAACCGCCCCCGTGATTCAATTACCTCCACCTGATCCCACCCTTGACACATGGGGATTATGGGATTACAATTCAAGATGAGATATGGGTGGGGACACAAAGCCTAACCATATCACAGAGTAAGTGTATATTCAAGTGAGAATGAGTGCTGCCCCTTCCACAGTTGAAGTAGTCCAGTGTAGTCAAATTGCCAATAGCCAGATGGTCCCTGGAGAATTCTGCCATATTGAAGGCTAGATGTTGTTCTCTAATGTTGCCGGCTGGAAAATCTGCTATTCTATAGTTGCATTCCCTTTAGTGCATGGAAATCTGTGTTGCTGAGACTATACCTAACCTCTATCCTTGCTGCTCTGGCCACTTTATCCATGAGCACACTGAGCAAGGACAAAGGTGGCTGGGGAGAACCAAATGGAAGTTCACCAAACTTGTCTACCCGATTACTGAGTTCACCCTGACTAAGGCTGCTCTTTGGTGAGCATTCATACAGGACACAAATATATTAATGTTCTGCCTACTTGGAAAGATCTATCCACATATCTCTTCCCCAGATTGCCAATTGTGTTCCTTCTGAGTCTTTGAGAGTCTAGTCAAACCATTAATCCTCATCCATTAATCAGGAATCTCTTCGTCCAGGCCAAATGAGCAAGTGTGTACAATAATCGGTGTTCAACTGGGAGGTCTTCCCTTCACTGCTGTCCTTCAAAGCCAGCCAGAAATAGGGTTATAGAACTGTCAGTATCCACATTCAGGTGATGCCAACATATCATAAAAAACCTTCTAAAAACTAGGCCCAAATTTTCTAGCCAGCTTAAGTAGAAAGGGAATTTTATAAGAAGTTATAAAATGGCTTGCCAAGTAAATGGGAAACTTGAAAAGACAGACTCAAGGCTAAGCTTCCAGAAATGACAGAACCAGGCCACCAAGGAAGCCAATACCTCTGCCATGACCAAAATGCTATAAAATCAGGAAGCCTCCAGGTGAAATTGGAAATCATCACTT